GAGTCATCATTACTGTGGGCTCAGGGTTGCCAGGTGTCCTGTTTTTGACTGGAAAGTCCAGTTGAGAAGGGAACCTGGCAGTGTTCGGTCAGATGTACTGACTGGACACTAAAAGTCTGGTTCCTGCCGGCAGGGGGGTAGTGGCAGCCTGTTGCCCGGCCCTGAAGTGGCGGCTCCCGCGGCAGCACGTATGCACCAGCTCGGGCCGCAGGCGGCCCCTTTGCAGAGCATGGCTTGTGGGGCTGTGACAGAAGACCGAGTGTGGGGACCCATGGTGAGTGGGGTCAGGGCTCTCAGCAGACACAGAACGTTCCCCCGGAGGGAAGGAACATGAGCTGCCCCGCCAGCCGGCGCGTCCCCTGGCTGCACTCTCAGGCAGCTCCAGGGCGGGGAGGGCTCGAGAGGGTGGGAAAGGGGGCTGCAGGGCAGGCAGCACAAAGAGAGGCGGGGGGGCTGCGTCCTATCTTGCCAGCAGGGCTGCCTGGCTGCTCCTGAGTGGCCGCAGCGCTCTTCTGACCTGCACTCGCAGCCAGCCTGCTGGAGCTGGGGTTTGCAAGTCCCTTGGGGCTGCTCGCGCTGGAGTTGAGGGGGGAAAGCAGCAAGCGATGGAGGGAGAGGAGTGAGCGGGAGGGGCGGGGCCTTAGGGAAGAGGCGGGGCAGGGCCTCAGGGGCAAGAGGTGAGGCAGGGGCATCCAGTTTTCAGACATTAGAAAGTTGGCCACTATGTTATCATCAGAGCAGTTCAACTAGGGCGTCATGGATAAACATTAGGACAATGTTGCAAGGCTTAGCTTTGCGCCTCTTATTGATGGGCATTATATTGCTAGATCTCCCGACTGCTATAGGCAGACAAGTTGGACTCCTTTGGCTGAAAGGCTGCCCTGGAGAGCTTTGTCAGTGGTGATCTGGGGTGAGCTTCGCGATACCATCTTACCGCTTTTCCAGGCTAGCCCATTTGTTCTCCAGTATGAAAACCAGTTGTTCCCATTTTCCCTCAGAGGCTTTTTGGCCTGAAAATAATATTTGGTTGAACAATTCTTCCTCTAAAAAACAGAAAGGCCTATTCAAGCAGGTAATTTTTCCCCTTAAGAGTAGAGCTGGTTGAAAAACAGGATGTAATTTCTTTGAAAACTGTTGATGAAATTATCAGATCTTTTCTCCCATTGAAATTGGTAGCAATTTTTATGAAGATATTTGCCAAAGTTGCAAGTTTTGTCAAAGAGTCTTGGCGAACTCTACCTAAAACTGATGCTGTGGGTTGGACCCCAGAATTTGCTTCGTTACGGGGAAGAGTGTGGCCTAGTAAATAAATCACGTGGCTGGAACTCAGGACACCTGGGTGCTATTCCCAGCTTTGCCATTGATCTGCTGGGTGACCCTTTGGGCAAGTCCCTTTGTGCCTCAGTTTCCCACATGTAAAATGGGGATCAGGATCCGGCTCTCTTTTTGCAAAGCTGTTTTGAGATCTGCTGAAGAAAAGTGCTAGAGAAGGCGCTAGGGATTATTATAATTCACATTTTCTAGTCATTTCCAGAAAAGCTATTTTGTAGTAAATGTGTGGTTTTCCTCTTTTAGGTTTAAATCTGTCCTTTTTCAATAAACTGTCACACTGATCCGAGTATTGTTTTGAAGTCAATAAGCCAGCGTGGCTGTATATGAAAGCGGAATTTGGCCCTACTTGCCCATGGTAACGTACTGTGTTCATTGCTTGTGGCTACATATATCCGATTCATGTTTTATCGTTTAATGTAAAATGAAGGATAGTCACTAATGACGATATGCATTGACGGAATTGAGGAAGAGGAGGGAAAGCACAGTATTGATTAAAACTAGCTTTCAACATGTAAGCCTCAGCTTTAACGCTCCTCGAGTCAGATTGCACATTTGTTGCCCACCCCTAGGCTCCCACTGAGTGCAACTGGTCTTTAGGATGTGCACAAAACACAGACACGTCCACTTCTTGTAAATGTAGCTTGGAAATTGGCCTGTATGTTAACTGCACATTTGCTTGTTCAAACACCAATGCACGCTTTTGTTTAGCGGATGAGCAAGGTTTTCTGCTGAATCAACCTGCAGTTTTGTAATCTGTTTAAAACCTTCAATGCGGCGGGTGGGTGGGGGGAGGGAATCTAACTCCCTTCCCCTCACCCAAAAATAAGCAACATTTGCAGCTTTCCCCCTTGGTATCACTGATCAAAGGTATGTGACAAGTCAGAGTGACCGTTTCCGACTGCCATTGGAACACTCCAAGAGCTACAAAAGAAGAAGAGGATGACAAAGATGAGCAGCTATTCCACTCCAAGGCTTCATTTGCTCCTAAAGCACTGATCCATTCATGTGAGTAAAGCCCTTTTCAGGTGCATAGGAAACTACAGGCCGCTTATACAATAAATGGAACAGGATGGGCTATTTATTACAGCTAAATGGAGCATGAAGTAGAACTCCGTTTCCTCTTGCTAAATGAAAAAAAACGTGGCAGTGAAGAGGATGGAGTGGGGAAATGATGATAGGCACAGCGATGTTCCGTGTAAAAAAGGGGACAGAGACAGAAGGATCTGGTCTCTCTCCGCCCAGGCACGTAACTCAGGAGCATTGATAGCTTTAAAGGTGCACTTCCAGAGACACATCTGGTTACACCGGTGCAACCTGCAATGGAATCAACCCGCTGCCTTTCTGGATCTGAGAGCAGAACGTGGCCCACAATGTGGCACGGGATAGGAATAGTTAGGTGCCAGCCAGCCATAAAATGGTACCAGGAAAACACCTTAAAAGACAGATCCTAGTCTCTGGGCAGGTCTACACTAGAGCCAGGATCGACGCTCTGAGATTGATTCACCAGTGGTCGATTTAGCGGGTCTAGTAAAGACCTACCAAATCGACTGCAGACCGCTCTCCAGTCGATCCCTGTACTCTACCCCCAACGAGAAGAGTAAAGTAAGTCGATGGAAGATTTTCTCCCGTCGATCCCCCGCGGTGTAGACCCCGCAGTAACTCGACCTTAGGTACGTCAACTCCAGCTACATTATTCACTTAGGTCGTAGCTTAGGTCGACTTACTGTGGTAGTGTAGACATAGCCAAAGTTACAGCTCCTTTCCCTACTCTAGCAACGCAAAGCGGCTGCAAAACCAATGCAGCCAGCCTCCTGGGGATTCTCGCTGCAGTGGTGGACTCTCTAGTCTGTGTGGATCTGGTATATCTATTCCAGGCCACACCGTTCTTGGCCCCTAGCATGGGGCTTGTGGGTGGGAGGAGTGGGTGTGGCTGGCGTGCCCCTGTGCGGCTGTACTGATCCCTTGGTTTTACAGGCAGTCGGAGTTGCTTTATTGATTGCATACAGTGTGCTCTCTCTGCCCTCTCACTGTCCATCAGAGCGGCTAGTCCAGCTCTGCAGAAGATTAGTATTGCACTGTACGGGAGCCACCATTTATGAGACCCATCTGCCTGAACCATTCTGTTTCAAAGGTGACTCAGGTTGCAGAGTCTCAGGCATGGAACAGATCATACGAGTTACTGGGAATGGTTTAAAATCTCTTTGTTACCTGATTTCCAGAGTGGTTTATACTCTCCTGGGAGGAGGCTCTGTTTCGGCGTTTCACGTGATGGGGCTGGTAGACAGGTATCTTCTGGGCTCCCTTTATGTCCTCATCCGAGGTGTCCATATCCGCTGAGTACTGGGGTCGGTGCTGCTCGGTCCATGGGCTGCCTTTGGGGACAGAACGGGTTCGAGTCACTGGAGGCTCAGGGCAGGGATTATCATCTTAGGTTTCAGGAAAAGCCCGCGGAAGGATGGGCAAGGAGAGGTGAAAAAGGAAACAGCAACAATATTAGGAAAAAATCACTAAATAGCTTTACAGAACACCAGGGACCTGGTCCAAAGCCCAGGGAAATCAGCGGAAAGACTCCCACTGACTTCAGTGGACTTTATATCAGTCCCTCAGACCAGACGCTCACACACCTGCTAAATAAATCACACCACGATGCCTCATTAGAAGAGCTGTCAAGCTCTTCCCTTTCCAAACCGTGGCAGTGGATACTCTAACAGCAACAGCTTATTCAAAGCAAAAGCGAACGCATCCTCCGCTAGAATAACCATAGTGTCCTATACGCACCACGCCAAGCTTTCAGATAGCAAAGTTAGAGGGCTTTTCACGCCAGCAAAGAGGAAGCCATGAAACGCTTAGATATAACACGCCTGAGCTCATTCAAGGAGTGTGTCAGAAATCCCGTACTTTCAGTGAACTGCATCATGTAGGCGTGGAAAGACAACTGTTTCATCGGGGCTAAAGGAAGGGTTGTTATCCAGAGGTAACATTTAAGAGCGCAGATACATCAGTGGGGCTTGAAACCCAGTTTAAAATCATTCGAGTGCCCAGAACAAAAGGATTGACATTACAATTTCTATGCCACCCTGGAGGGGGCGTGGTCTAATGATCAGAGCACACAGGAACCGTCTCTTGCTACGTGTATGTACAGTACCGCTCTGTGCCTCTGCTTTCCAGTCAGTTAAACTAGGAATTGTCCCTCTGAGGGTTTTTCCAAGACTTAATTAAGAGACCCTCACCCAAAAGATGCTTTATAGGGGGAAAGTATTATCACACAGTGAAAAGCATCTTACAGGACTTCAGGAAGGAGGCTGGACTACAGCGGATTGACAATGGGCTAGGGAACTTTTCACTGCTATATTCACGGGTTCAAATCCAGCCCAGGTAGCTGCTGTCTGAGCTCTATCTAGCAGCTACTTCCCTCATCTATGTGACATCCATTGGTGGTCTCAGCCTGGTTCCTGATGGAGACAGGTCCACATCCCGAGACCCACTTGCCCAACTGGCACCGTTGCTGGCAGGCTCAGTAACAAGACCAAGGACTGAAACTATCCCCACAGGCGACGTCTCCAGAACAAGATGTCGGGGCAGGGCAGGGAAGTGTGAATAACCACAGCCCTGGGTGGACAAAGGATTTCACCCACCAGACAGTAAAGAGTCTACATTTTCACTAGCCTTGGGAGCTGAGCTCAGAAAACCTAATCCGAAAGCCAATGAAGTCAAAGGGAATTTTCCCATTGATTTCAGTGGCTTTGGATCAGGCCTCAAACCTGGGAGAAATGAATAAAAGCCTTTCTAAATGCTTTTTAAGTCAGTTCCAGAGTGTTATTTTTATTCTATATAGTACCTCCATTTTATTTACCTCTAGCTCGGCTAATCACAGTGCTCACAGTCACCTGGGTGTTAATAAATCCAGCCAACACGGGAAAAAAAACCACACAGGAGATTATATTTTAGGATGACCCATGTTTAAGCTACACACCATGCACATTTTGCTTTGTTACCCTGGTAGGAGAAAGCACATTAGTGACAGAAGAATTTGTTTTCTGTAATCTCATTCGCTAGAGTACTTATAGTATCCATAAACTCCTGATCCCCTCAGGAGAGGGTTTGATTGCACAGGGCTCCAGAGCCAGGGAAATCTCCCCAACCAGATTTAAGCATGACAAATGACTACGTTTGGTGCACAGCTTGTCAATGAGGACAAAAGCGGTCATCATGCCATAAGCAATTGAGTCACTGCTTTGCCATGGTGGCCAAATCCTCATCTGGTGTAGCTCAGCAGTGCTCCACTGACTTCATTAGAACCAGGATGATTTACACCAGACGGGGATCTGGCTGAGCAAGTTAAAATGTGGCCGCGCTCAGGCCTGAAGCAAGGCTACTTTGGCTTTCGATTTCATCTGACATGCTAAGCAAGGTAGGCCTGAGAAACCTTCTAGCACAGCCCAGAGCGCGTAGGGAGTGAGGCTGGTGATTCGGTAGGTGGCATTCCTTGCTTTGGAGTCAGGGTGATCAGTTGCTCATGCCCAAATGACCAGCTAGCTGTGTAAGCTGATTTGCATATGCAAATCAGATGTATGGTTATGCACCTAGCTATGAAAGCCAGGCCCTCTGTGGTTTAGTAGTTTAGTTATTTTTTCAGAGCCTGGAACTATTAACGTTTCCATTCTGTTAGAACTGCCGGCCCAGTTGCTTCTCCTCTAATGGGACAGGATGACACTGGTCAGTGTAGCCTACCAGGTTTGGGATTCCTTTCCAGGCTCTTCCTTCGTGAGTTCACTGTCAGCCGGACCTCGGTGCTAAACTCCTGCTCTGGAGGGGTCATATGTTGTCCCTGCTCCTGAAGGATCTGGTGGAACACTGCAGCCAGGTCTGCTTCAGCGATCATTGTCTCCTTCCGGGAGGTGTCCTCACCGGCATCCTGGGAAGTCCAGGAATGACTGAGAAGAGAGGACATGGGTCAGTACCTATAAATGAGCAGTGTGTTCCCTTTCCCCATAACCCACTTTCGAGCAAAATATTTGCAGGTTATTTTTTAGCCTTCCCTAAGGGATTTGTACACCCCACTGTTAATAGTTTTAATTCGAATCGGGCATCACAATCCCCTAAGCAGCCTGGAAAAATCTCAGCCCATGTGTCTGTGTTTTTAAAATGTCAAGTCCTTTTACTGATTAAACAATAATGTGTCTCCCCATACCCTGGTTATATGCAGATGGTTCTTAAAGAGAGATCTTTTTCTCATAGGCTACAAGCACAGTGTCCTTCACAAAGACAGGCTAGAACCATCCTATATGCTTTGCCCCAAAAGCTTTATCAAACTTATACTGGAGTTTGAAAACTCCAAGGTTTGTTTGACTTTTAAAATAAAAAGTTATTGTTACATTTCTCACCACTTCCTGGTTCTACCCAGGAGAAGGGTTTTAAATGATGAGGTACCAGAAACAACAACAACAACAACAAAAAAAACAAAACAAACAAAAACAAAAAAAGGCAACTTGGTATTTCTGACTTAACCAGAAGCAAGAATGGATTATCCAGTCCTGCAACTCCATGAAGTCTGGACGCTGTGAATTAAGGCTAAAATCAGCATCCAAACATCTGTGCTCTTGTTCAGATTGAACCAATCCTCCTTACTTTGGAGGTTTGCACATCACTAGCCTGTATGCAAGTCAGTTCGAAACATTTCAGGAAAACTCTGTCTGCCTTTTGGACATCAAGCAAGAGATGCTGCTTTTTTGTGCACCAAGTAGAATACATGAATCTTTTATGACAGAGACAAGGTGGTGAGGTAATATCTCTTTTGGACCAACTTCTATTGGTGGGAGATAAACCTTTAGAGCTATGCAGAGCTCTTCTTCAGGTCTGGGGAAGGAAGAAGAATCTCTTATGTTGTATATGCTACGTTGAGGTGTGACTTTCACAGTCACTGGGTTTGTTGTTCAATCTAGGCACAGTAGAACCTCAGCGTTAGGGACACCTCGGGAATGGAGGTTGTTCGTAATTCTGGAACGTTCGTAACTCTGAGCAAAACATTATGGTTGTTCTTTCAAAAGTTTACAACTGAACATTGACTTAATACAGCTTTGGAACTTTACTATGCAGAAGAAAAATGCTACTTTCCCTTTATTTTTTTAGTAGTTTGTGTTTAAGGCAGTATTGCACTGTATTTCCTTTTTTTGGTTGGTCTCTGCTGCTGTCTGAATGCATACTTCCAGTTCCAAATGAGGTGTGTGGTTGCCTGGTCTGTTTGTAACGGTGGTGTTTGTAACTCTGAGGTTCTACGGTACTAACGTCTCTCAGTTTGCAATGGCTGGTAACAGCACTGATGACTGGAAGAAGTGAAGCTGGTTTTGCACTCTTCTGCACAACTGTTATGCAATAATTATGCAAAATTGTTGTTTTTCAGGTTTGGGAAATCTTCCGCTACCCATACAATTCCCTCTCTTTTTCAGAAGGTCAGTCTCCATGTGGCTTGCTGTGACTGGCCAAGGAGTTTTGCAAACAATAAGAACAGCGTTGCCTGTCAGGACTTTATGGATCAGTTTTTTTAGATGGCCTCAGCTCCTCCCCAGAGGGGCTTGCCTCAGTGTAAACAAAGGAACAAAACTACAGACAAAACAGATGTGGGTTGGTTACATGCCTCTCCTGCTTAGAGGTTACATGCCTCTCCAGCTCTTTTCAGTTTCCCACAGAACAGGGAGAGAAGGGTCTTCATATTTCCCACTCCCATATTTCCTCAGCTGGCTTTGACAGAACCCAGTACTACAATTGTGGATACAAGGACTACAATTCCCAGCCTGCCTTGCTCTCCATCTCCAGCGAGAGCAGCTGGCTGGAACCACAAGAAGCCATCTTTATCCCTGACCATTGAGGCTAGAAATGAACTGAGCCCATGTTCATGTGGGATTGCAAAGAAACAGGGCTTTATCTGATTTCTTCGGGGGCCAATTTAAAAACAAGTAATGAAACCCAGAAGAAAATGAGACCAGAGGACACGATCTTTTCCGAATCTCCTGCCATCCTAGCTCACCAGTCCTCACTCCAATTCACTAGCCTCATTCTGATTCATGGCCTTCAGGAGTAAGGTCTATTGTGGCAGAAAACAAAGCAAGGGGGGGAAGCTAATCAACATCATACCCTTGGAAACTCCAAGCAGCTGAACCGCGGAAGAGAAGAAAGGAAGGGAGCAAGGAACGAGAGAACAGCAGTCCCCAACCACCTCCCCAGTACCTGGTGGCCATCCTGGCTGACCGGAGTTTGAGAAAGCTGCACAGATTGACGGCGTGATTGAGCGGAATATTCCGAGTCCAGTTCAAAATCAAAAGGATGAACAGATAGCAGGCGCTTTGTCTTGCGCATCTTAGAAAGCATAGAAAGTGCAAGAAAGCAAAATTCAGTGTAAACACAACTGGTCTTTAAAAAGGGGTCTGATGACTCTTTCAGCCCATAACTCTCTCTCTCCACCTATGTTTCTGGTTGTGTCTTTTCTTCTCTACTGGCTACAGATCTGACATTACTGGTTTGCCTAATTGTATTTATGGATCGAATGTTGCTCTCTCTTTCTGCCATGCAGCTCTGCTGACCTATCAGTGGAGCTGTCTAGGTGGTAGAGGGCAGAATGTGAATCACATTTCTTCCTATTTCAAGGGTGTGTAAATGAGAATGGGAATGATATCCAATATTAGTGTGGATCAGATGAGCAAGGTCTATTCCAGTGTGCTTTGAAGTGAACGGAAAGACTCCCTTTGAATTCAACGATCTTTTGGTCAAGACCATAGTATTCTGGGCTGTGGAGGAGAAACTCAACTGGAGGTTCATTGAGGAGTTATGAAAGTGAGCTTGGCTCAAATTTCACAGAGAATTCCAACAGCTGCTGTGGAATCCTCAAACAGGCGTCCCCCCTTTTCAGCCAGGGAATCATTCAGAGATAGCCACAGCTAGGAGGCACTGCCACCTCCGCTCCTTTAAAATGCCCCTTGCAGCTCTGCAATTAGATCAAATTTATTTGGCCTGTGTGGAATGTTACACTTCACTGTCTGATGCTTATGCCCCCTTAAGAGAGACTTTACCAAACTAAGACTATGTCTACACTTTTGTCGGTAAAACTTTTGGCCGTCAGGGGTGTGAAAAAACACACCCTGGACCGCCATAAGTTTCACCGACAGAAGCACCGGTATGAACAGCGCTATGTTGGAGGGAGATGCTCTGCTGATGACACAGCTACTGCCGCTCGTGGGGATGGGGGAGTTTAATTATGCTGATGGGAGAGCTCTCTCCCGCAGGCATAGAGTGGCTACATAGGAGACCTTACAGCTGTGCCCCCGTAAGGGCCGTAGTGTAGACATAGTTCTGGGGAAGGATAGCATGTATCTTTAATAGGTTAGATTGAAATGAAGTGACTGCATTTCCAGGAGACCAACTGAAAGAAACAATTACCTCCCCAGATAATGCCAATGATGTAACAAATGGATGTGGTAATGAAGTTGGCTAAGAGGCTGACCTATAGCATGACAAGGCAGAAAATGAAATGTGACATTTAGAATCTATTTAACAACACCTAGCTCACACGTAAGGCTTTTCATCTGAAAAGTGCTGTATAAAGGAGGGTCAATATTATTATCCCCATTTTACAAAGAGGGAAAATGAGGCACAGAGGGCCAAAGTGACCTGCAGCAGGTCACCCAGCAGGCCCAGGGCTAGAACCCAAGTCTCAGTCTAGTGCTCTGCTCTCTAGGCCACACTGTTCCTTCCTATTTAGAAAAAGGTGGTTGGTGTGTGTGACAGGGTGCACTCACCCTGCACTGGACGGGGAAGGGTTAACTCCTCACTGTGGGAGGAGGAAGCCACGCCCCCCTGTCCAAACTGGGCATGCTCACGGTGTAGCACCAGTATAAGAAGGAGCAGCTCAGTTCAGTCTGGTCTAGTCGCCGGAGAGGAAGGGCATATGCTGCAGGCTCCAGCCCGGGAGCTGCGGAAGCCCCGGACTGTGGGAGCCGGAGACACCGAGACTCACGCAGATGCCCAGGTACCTGAGGGCGCCACTTGGAGGTCAGAGCCCCTGGGCTCAGCACAACCCGAGGAGACCAGAGATCCCAAAGACGTCTAGCTCAGGACTGCAGAAGTCACGGTAGGAAGTAGCCCAGA